ACCGGATGAAAACCCTAGGTCCGAGAAAAACTTCACGAACTTTTTTCTTCTCCTTTTTTTTCTTCTTCTTCTTCTTCTTCTTTTCGTTTCTTCTTCTCTTAATCTTTCTTCTCCATTATTATTTCTTTCTTCTTTCATTATCATCGAGGAATCAAGCTTGTGTTTGGATTCAACTTTGAATTGAGATTTATTGTAAGTTGTTTCTCTCCTTATTAATTCATGAATAATGGTTGATGTGAGAGAAATGATTATTTGCATTGAATTCATGTTACGTAGCTAATTTCTATCGCTAGGGATAGGGGAATGATTGTTCTTGTTTAATTCGCATCTCTCGGGCATGAGTTTGTTCATTCTTATGTGAGTTGTTTTGATTAGGGATTGATATATTCTTACTTGATTGATTGATATAATCGAAGAGTGACACTTCGATCTTGCAATTGGTAACAATTGAAGGTTGATTAGTCGAGTTAGGGTTTTGATGATGCTATGAGATTAGTCGATTAATACTCTTCTAGTTAAATTAGCGACTTTTTGAACCGAAAGGGGAAAAAGTCGTAGACCTAGGCTCGCATGAGGTAGATAATTTTGTAACTGAATAATCTATGGTTTTAGGTTGAAATACGCGCTTGTCGATGACCCGTCCCTTGTTACGAAAAGTTATTGGTATTCGGATAATTGGCCTGTGTCGTATGCACGAGTTTGTTCGTCTATGTTCAATCCCTTGTTACGAAGAGTTATTGGGAGCGAACCGCTAGATGTTTAAGCGATAGCGTCAATCTAGAATAGAATGATTCATGTCCCGTTGTGCGAGTAGAACTTGAATTGATTATCCCCGATTCCCTAGCTTCTCATCTTTGTTTCGTTCTTATTTTTAGGTAGATTTATATTTTGCTTAGTCCTTTATTTCTTAGCTGATAATTCACCCAATCCCTATCTGATTAGTATGTTTAGGATTTATTTTGCTTTTATGTGCAATCAATACCATTTCTAAATTCCGAACAGCCTTCCTCGTGAGATCGACCTGGGAACGAATCTTTTGATTCAGTACTCGGTAAAAATAATAATTTGTACACAACAGGAGGAGGAGGAAGAAGAGGAAGAAGAAGAAGAAGAAGAAGAAGGGCTTATGCATGCAACCCATCAGTTAAGTTGCTTTTGGTTGGACTTGTATTCGAGTTTTCTTTTCCTTTTAAAGGCTTATGCATGCAACCCAATAGCCTATAAATTGGCTAGTTTCCTTCTCCAAAGGGTTGTAAGGTTCGTCCTAATGCACTGCTCACACCCCTTCTTCAATTGTTTTTCAACGTTTCAACCGCTAATAATTGTTTCGACCTAATATGCCCTCATATCTTAATAAAATTAAATAAAATGAATAATAAAATATACCAAAATACGACAAAATATACACGAAAATCACTCCAAAATGCACGTTAAAATGACGTATGCCTGAGCCTTTTCCAAACAATTCATCGTAGTTAAAAGCAAATTATGTTTATTTATAAGGCATGTATGTGTCGCTGATAGGAATGCTTCGTCCAGTTTCTATCAGGGTGGCCTCAAATTGCCAAACCCTTATGCGTCAAAGTTTTTTTGTTTTATCTATTTATATTTTTTTGTTATGAAAAAATTGTTATGTCGTTGTAATTGTAATGAAATATTTTATCATAATTGAGATCCATATTCACATATATTGTTGTTAGCTGGTAATAAGGCAAAAAAATCTATTCTTATTTCCTACATAAATGAATTAATGTTAATTTATTAAGTTGTCACATCAACCTATTTCCTACATAAATGAATTAATGATAATTTATTATTTCGTACCTAAACATTTTGTTAGTTCAGTTGCTAAAAAGTTGGGTTTTCAAGACCAATGCATTGTTGTAGACCCTATAGGCCTTAGAAGAGGGCTTTTGTTGTTATGGGAGAAAGAGGTTGAAGTTTTGAATGTGGTGTGCAGGGATTTTTGTATTTAAGTGGAGTTTAAAGTTAACGGGGGGAGGGGGAGGGGGATATGTGCTGGGGGGTTTTTGTTCATATGAGTGTGAGTATAGCAGTTAGAGACGGCCAGTGGAGGGTTTTGCAGGTGGATAAGTTGAATTGGGGTAGTAAGTGGTTCATAGCAGGGGACCGAATGCTATATGTAAACCAGAGGAGAAGTGATGAGGTATTGATAGGGGTTTAGGTAGGTGTGTGGGGTTCAATGGTTTTATAACTGATATGGGGATGAAGGAGGTGAGGATGGATGGTTATTAGTTCACCTGGGCCAACAATAGGAGAGCAGGGGAGTGGGTGGAGGCTAAGCTAGACATGGCTTTTAGGTCCTTTGAGCGGTTCGCCTCTCATCCTAAAGCTTTCTCAAAGGCAGAAGAAAAGAGTGCTTCAGACCATTCCCTACTGATTGTTGATACAGACTGTGAGGTGAAGAGTAGAGGTAAGAGGTTCCAGTTTGACAAACGATGGCTAAAGAGAGATGGAATTAAAGAGGTGGTTGATAAGGTGTGGAAGGATAAACTGAAAGGAACACCTATGTTTATTGTCAAGGAAAAAATCAGAAATACCAGGGTGGCCCTTAAGATGGAGCTCAAAATTCAGAACTCAGAACCAAGAAATAATTTCTGAGCCAAATAAGGTGTTGAAAGAGATTAAGCTTCAACCGGGAGGAGCTCAGTGGGAAGATAAAGAAAACCTTAGAAAGGAGTTGGATGAGACACACTCATTGGAGGAAGTTTACTGGCAACAGAAATCAAGGAACATGTGGCTCAAGGAGGGTGACAGGAACACGATGTTTTCATGCGATCACAACTCATCGTCGAAGATATAATGCGATTACCAGACTGGTCACCACTGACAACCAAGTTTTTCAAACTCCACAAGATATTATATCCCACGTAGCTTGGTACTATAATAATCTATTCACGTTAGAAGGGACTATAGGAGCAGACAATATTGTACATCTCATTCCCAAGTCAATCAATGACGAGATGAACAAGGAGTTCGAGATCATGGTTGAGGAAGAAGAGATCAAAGCGGCCCTTTTCTCGATGAATCCTGAAAAAGCTTCCGGAGAGGACGGTATGTCGGCCCTTTTCTATCAAAAATTATGGGAATTAATCAAAGTTGATTTGATAAAACTTGTCCAAAGTTTCTTTATTTTTAGGAATATATTGCAGTACAAGAATCAAACAGTTATCTCTTTTATTTCCAAAGTTGAATCACCTGAAATGTTGAGTAAATATCGTCTCAATAGTTTATGCAGCATTTTCTACAAAATTCTTTCAAAAATTCTTGCAACGAGGCTCAATTCTTGTTTGAATAGCAGTATCAGTGATTGTAAGACAACCTTTCTCCAAGGTCGCCAGATAATGGATAACTTGATTATTGCGCATGAAATATTTCATTTTCTCAACAGACATCACTCAACGAAAAAAAAATTCATGGCGCTGAAATTAGATATGATGAAGGCATACGATCGTGTTGAATGGCACTGTATTCAAAGAATCATGATTAAATGGGGTTCAACCTTAAATTTGTTAATCTGAATGTCATGCATCTGTTCTATATCTTTTTTTTTTTTTTACCTTAATGGTTCTGTTCAAGGTTTTATCAAACCTTCGAGAGGATTGCGCCAAGGAGATCCATTATCCACATTTCTGTTTTTGATTGTGTCAGGTGTTTTCTGTACTACTATCAGAGCAGTTGCTCAAAATCATTACTCTGGGATTAGGCTTAATAGAGAGGGCCCTTCTACATCTCATTTACTGTTTGCTGACGATTCTTTACTCTTTGGCAAAGTAGCCCCTGATTAAGCTCTTAAACTTATAGATATTCTTGAGAGATATAGACTTTTTACAGAACAGAAGGTGAACTTGGACAAGTCTGCCATTTTCTTGGGCAGAAAAGTAACCATTCTTAGGCAAAACAATTGAACACGTTAATATTTAACGAATTAGTTATTTGTTGTTCAACTGTCGATTCTTGTATTTAATGTTATTGCTAGGATAAGTCTTCACGATGTTGGGAATAAATTAGTGATAAGAGTCTCGTAGAAGGATATCCGCTTGCGTGATAAAATTAGAAGATATAATTTATATTCAATGATATTTGCGTGGATTGTGAGTTGATATTTACTGCATCAATGATAAGTAGAACATTATGGAGTGAAAATTCAATCAACCAAGGCATATCCATATCATATTATATTTCATCTCTTGATTTTTTTTATTTATAATTTTGATAGATATCTTTTTAGTTTAATTAAATCGTATATCCTATATTACCCCGTTTAATCTTATAGTTGATAGATTTAGTTTACTTCTCTCTTGCTCATGCTACTACACATTTTTAAGCAAAATAAATTTGAGTGCCTAGAACAAAACAACCACTCGGACTTAATTACTGGCTCGTATCGTTTATACATCTTTAAAGTTAGTAGTTTGCGTAACAAAATTGTCTTTTTTTTTTTGTATAACATCTTTTCTGTTTCTGTTTTTTTTTCAGTTAACGTTTTTCGTATAACATCTTTTCTCCGAAAATTGTCTTCTATATAAACATTCATTCCGCAGTTTTGCATAAACCTTTTCCAAATTAGAACAAAAATTAACTAGACTTGGTGGGGTGCGCCAAACCCGAGCAGCAGTGCAACGCTTGGGCGACGCGTGAAGGCCCGCCCAAGCAGCTAGCTACCAATTGGGCCTTCCCATAACTAAAAATAAGTTGACATCTAGTGGGTCGTAGCCCACGTATCAGATGTTAAACTGATAAGAACAGATACTACACTTGATCTTAGCCAAAAGGCCGAGAAAGGTATACCTGGATGGTTGCTAGGGCGGCCCATTTTATATGTCAATTGGTCTGGGCTTTGAGCTTCGTGCGCGATGTGGGATAAAAGTAAAGGACATGCGGATCACTGTAAAAGATTTTAATTAATATCAGCAATAGTTTAATTATAGTTGTAGTAATTACCACACGTGTAATGTACTGCATATTGTCCCATACTCATGTTCGCGCGATCATTGCGAAACTCACCTTCAAACCTTCTCTTTCCCCTTCCCATCCAAACCAAACATACCTTCTCTTACTCTCGACCCGCCTCCGCCGCCGCCGCCCGACCGGAATCTTTCATCTCCTTGTGTGCCCAAGGCCGACTCAAGGAAGCCATCGCCGTCCATTTCCCCCTCATCCAGTCAAAACCGGTCCTCGTCTCCCACCTCCTCAAAGCATGCATTGCCTGCAGCTCCCTCCCGAAGGCCCTCCAGGTCCACTCCGTCGCCATCGCCGCCGGCTGGTCAGACATCAAGTTCGTCTCCAACCACCTGGTCAATGCCTACACCAAGCTAGGCAGCTTGGAGACCGCTCTCAAGGTGTTCGATAAAATGCCCCACAAAAACATCATGTCCTACAACATCATAATCAGTGGCCACATACAAAACGGCCAGTTGGACCTTGCCATGGAGGTACTTGAAGAAATGGGCCCTAGGAATATTGCCACGTGGAATGCCGTCATCGCAGGCATGATCAGGTTCGAGCAAAACGAAGAGGGCCTAAGGTTGTTCCACAAAATGCACGAAAACGGGATCTCGCCTGATGCATACACATTGTCGAGCGTGCAGAGAGGATGTGCGGGCTTGAAGGATTTAGCGAAAGGAAAGCAAGTTCACGGTTATACAGTGAAATCAGGTTTGGGGTTTGATTTGGCGGTCGGTAGCTCCACTGCACACATGTACATGAGGTGTGGTTGTTTGCAGGAAGGTGAGTTACTGATTGAATTAATGACTTCACGTAATTTGATTGCTTTTAACACGCTTATTGCTGGGCGTGTTTGGAATGGGTTCCCTTCTGGCGCATTGGATGCCTACTTGGACATGAGGACGGCCGGCCTCCGGCCCGATAAGATCACTTTTGCAAGCTTGATCACTTCCTGCTCGGATTTGTCAACTCTCAGCCAGGGACAACAGATTCATTCAGAGGTGGTAAAAGCTGGGGTTACTTCAGTTGCTGCTGTTAATAGTTCCTTGATTAGTATGTATTCACATTGTGGCTGCTTAAATGAGGCGGTTAGAGTATTCGAGGAAAAAGGGTCTGGAGAAAGAGATCATGTTTTGTGGAGCTCGATGATTTCCGCTTACGGGTTCCACGGGAAAGGAAAAGAGGCGATGGAGATATTTAAAGAGATGGAAATTGATGGTATAGAAGCCAATGAGGTGACTTTCTTGAGCCTGCTCTATGCTTGCAGTCACTGCGGGTTGAAAGATGAGGGTTTTGAATTTATTGATAAAATGGTGAATGAGTACGGATTGAAACCTGACGCAAAACACTACACGTGTTTAGTCGATCTTCTGGGAAGATCAGGTCGGTTGGAGGAGGCAGAGGGCCTCATAAGGTCCATGCCCGTCGAGGTTGATGCAATTACGTGGAAAACATTGTTGTCCGCCTGTAAAATTCATAAAAATGCTGACATGGCCGGAAGAATAACTGAGGAGATTATAAAACTCGACCCTCACGATTCGGCTTCGTATGTCCTCCTGTCAAACACACAAGCTTCTGCTAGAAGATGGCAGGATGTGTTAGAGGTTAGGAAAAAGATGAATGGCATAATGGTCAAGAAAGAGCTCGGCATAAGCTGGGTTGAGTTGAAAAACAAGTTTCACATATTTTCGGTGGGCGATAAGTCCCATCCAATGTCTGAAGAGATCGAGTCGTGCTTGAATGATCTGATGGTTGAGATTCGAGCACGAGGGTACGTGCCTAATTTAGGTGCTTCACTGCATGATATGGATTTGGAGGAGAATGAGTATAACCTGGCGCACCACAGTGAAAAATTGGCACTTGCTTTTGCTCTCATGAGTATACCTCTTTAAGGTTAGCAATTTGCATTACAAAATCTATATCTATATATATATATATATATATATATATATATATATATATATATATCTATAAATATATAATTTGGCAAGACAAGCATTTAATTTTATTGTGATGCATTAAATTTTATTCTCCCTCCAATTTTTTTAGCATTCAATTTCATTTTTAAGTTACAAATTAACTTGCTTGAATGCCATAAATTATGAGCATAAATCAATTAAGGGAGTTACAAAATTGATTTAGCATAAAGAAAATGGTTGTAATGGCTCTTCTATTTTATTATTTCCTATTTGTTTGAGGGTACCGTTAAAATTTCGACGCAAAATTTTTTTTAACATGGTCTCCTATACTATGGCGATCATCAAGAGTCAAGATCAATCTCTCTCACACGTTTCGCTTAGTCTTGAATGACCCTGTTTTCAGTAATAAACAATTGGACGTTGCTTTTCTGGAGTTACTAATGGGAAGTGTTTGAAAATAATGATATGTGGTGATGGTGATTCTGACGATAGAAAAACCATAAATATTGTATACAAACAATATGTTTAATAAAATTTAAAATCATTTTCTTAATTCATATTTTTTCTCATGAAATGAATTATGGTTATGTATTTTTTTATATTATTATCTTTTCTAAGTATTTTTCTCCTTGCAAATGCACGGGTTGAGCACTAGAATGACTTATATTATTATCATTTCCTTCACATTATGTCACTTCCAAATTGCTTATTATAATTATTAATAAAATAATTATGATAATTATTCCCCGTAATTGGAAAATCCCCATCAGCAAAAGAATGACTTATAACAGTTGTTTATTCATATTTATTTTGCAAAAATTAATCCCAAAGATCAGACACATTATAATTCGAATTATTTATATTAATTAAAATAAATTAATACTTAGCTAAATTATGATGGCCAGATAAATTTGTTTATAATCCCAATACTAACTCCTTCAAAACATGGATGAATTTCAATATATTCTTATTTTATGGAAAAACAAAACTGGCGGTGTTTATAAATTCTTCCATGTACAAGTTCAAAAATTTCAAGGATTTAAATAGTCCCAAGTTTGTTTTTTTCTTCTTAAAAAGGAGGATCTAAACTGGTTCCCCAATTCCCCTCCGAGTGACTCGAACTCGGGACATGGTACACGCCAAGTGAGGGTACAATAGTCCCAAGTTTGTTAACCCAACTATGCTTATAGGTACTGTTTAATTTTTTGTCTTTATAAATAGCTATTATGTTTTCCTTTGTTGTTTTAATTATATCAATCAATTATTTTTTTATTATTATTGTTGTTATTATTATTATTTTGAAGATATAATCGTTAGAATAGTCATGTACCAAAATGTGCAAACTACCATCTTCAAAAGGTGTTGACAAGAGATTTGTTGACGTACTCCTCCAAGGCTTCAATTTACTAATGAAGAATCATGTATTAAGTCATGGACAATTGTATGTGGCACCATCTAGAGTCATCAGTCGGAGGAGTTTGGAGATAATAATTTGTGTTGATGGAGATTGTGACGATAGAAAAACCACGAACGTTGTATATAAAGAAATATTTAATAATATTTAGATATTATTTCTTATTTTGTTTCAATGATTATGTTATTATTTTTATATTTGTTTTTTTTTACTTTATTCTCTTCTATCATATAGCTTTCCGTGCAAATGCACGGGCCAAAAACTAGTATATATAATTTGGAGCAACAAAGCATTAAATTATATTATCCCACATTTAATTATATTATCCCGCTTAAAATTTTCAGTATTTAATTACATTACTTTCCGTTCCCGCCTAAAGCAGTTACAAATATTATAATTTTATTATTATAATTTTTTTTTCTTACATCACCTTAATCTATATATATATAATTACTAGCTTATAAGCATTTAATAAAACCTATTAAATTATACCTACGTGGCACTTTCCCGCCAAAAACCGTTACTTTTCAATTTTATTTATTTTTTATTATTTTATTATAAAAACATGTTTGATTTGTATTAATGTGTTGCTATGTTAATATTGGTCAAAACCTCATTTACTGTGTAGCCGTTACATTTCTCTTTTTTCCTTATTATCTTTAGTACCTTTGAATTTCGAAAATAATTTTTTTTTATTATCAAAAAATTGATTCACTCACAATATTTTATCTATTTATTCTCACTAATTTATGATACTTTGTTTTTTAGTAACTAAAGTTGTTTTTGATTTTAGTAAAAAAAATTCGACAATATAGTCCTAACTACATTTAGTAAAATTTACCAATTTTAAGTGGCAACTAGATATTCATACTTCTTTAGCAAGTAGCTTTTGTAAAATCCACGACAAGTAGGTGTATTCGTTTGGAATTTCGAGTGACATTTAAAGGCTATTCGAGATTTGAAATTTTTAAATTAGAGGAATCTTGTGAAATTTTAAGTTTGGATGTGAGATTTGTAATGAGTTTTAGTATATGTTTATTTCTTTAGAAATTCCAACAAATCTTAGAAAGTTTTAACAAATCTTAATCTCAAATAATTAAATACATCGGGATGAATACCAAATGAATATCTCAAGACTTTTGTAAGTCTTGAGAACTCTAAATTAAATTATACCATAATTTTCAAAGTCTTAAAAATTCTTCTAAATTTTTTAACAATCTCAAAATTAAATATACACTTAAATTTAAAATAGCTATTTTGTAAAATCCACAATAATTAATTAAATTTAAATATTTCCCATATTATATACAACACAACAAGTAATTAAATTTAAATATTTTCATTGTATATACAAATCACAAACTCCTTTGCATCTCACTGTACAATTCATTCATGTTGTAATAAAATCGTCCCATTAAATGACAAAAAGCAACTTCCGGAGAAAAATCGGCCACCGCCACATAACATAATCCCCCGAAATTTATATATATATATAATTATTAGCTAATAGCATTTAGTAAAACCTATTTAATTTTACCATGTGGCAATTTAACCATTTTTCCTCCAAAAACCGTTACTTTTGATGTATTTAGGCTATGTTTAGTAAAACTAGCTGATAAGCTAGCTTATAGCTTATATGTAATTTTTTAGCTTATAGCTTATAGCTTATGACTTATAGCTGAAAAGCTAGTTTATATGATAGAAGTGTTTGGTAAAATTAGCTGATAAGCTAGCTGGAATAAAAAATTCAACTAGCTTATTTGAAAAGCTACCTAAACAAGCTTATCAAATAAGCTCGAGCTTTTTAAATAAGCTCGCCCTACCAAACGGGGCTTATTTGAATACAGGAAGCTTATAAGCTAACCAAATAAGCTATAAGCTAGCTTATTTGATTTACCAAACATAGCCTTAATCTTTCATTTAATTATTAAATAATCAACACTAATCACTTCAAAAATACAAAAATTATTTTAAACTTTTGATTATTGACAGTTGATCATATAATGTGTTTACCATATAATGTGATTAGATGTTATAATTGTGGTTAAATTTAAATTATTATTATTTTTAAAATAAAAAACGTATTTGAAATTCTTAAATAAATAATAAATAATTCACAAAAAAAAGACGTACCAAAATATACATTACATCCAATCAGATAAACGCAATTTAAAAAAAAATAGATATTCCAACTCCTTTAATTGTAAATTTGGTCAGCAAAAAGGTGAAAGAAAAATAATTAATCATTATATGCATACAAATACTCACAATACATTATTTACATTTGTGCAAATGCACAGGTCGAATACTAGTTATTCTAATGGTAATATTAATAGAAAAAATGTTGCAACTAAACTCAAGCATTTATATTTATAACTGCTTTTTTCCCCCTTTTCCTTCAATAATTTTAGACTTATTAGATGCAGTAATCTTTTACCTCAAATCGTACACCTTAATTAATTTATTTGGGAGAAATCATGTAAACACTGATATATACTCATTTTAGATGCAAAGAATTATACAAGAAATTAAATTACGAAATTAAATTTAAAAAGTATCAGTATCCAGTCAGATTTTTGCCATGGTTTTTGTAAAATAATAAAAATTAAATTAATTAATTAAATATAAGTTTAACAAAAAATAAATAACAAATCGTCTTATGCGCATAATAACTTAAAACATGGTTTTACAAAAAAAAAAAAAAAAAAAAAGGTTCATAAATTCTTGAAAAAGTTTACAGATCTTGATAGATTGGTACTATAATCGCCATATTAAACCATTTTCTTACGATCCATTGAAGCATTTTAGCAAAATAGAGACGTCAACCTTAAATCAAAATAAAAAGTTTCAAATATTGATAGATTTGTTATTTAATCGGCCAATTTGCACGTTTTACTATAATTTAGTAAAACAAAATTATAAAATCAGAATGAGTTTGATATTATATCTCCGTTTTGTTTGAAATTTTCTATTTTTCGAAAAAATTCAGAATTTGGTCGGAATATATCGTCGGAAAATGAAGAAAAAAGCATGATTATCGGCAAAAGTTGATAAGAAAAATGAGATATTTGATATCTTTTACAGAGAGAAAAAATGCGTTATACGGCGATAACAAGAGAAAAATGAGCATGAATCATAAAGTGTTAGGATTATTTAAGTCGAGGATTTTGTAACCCTTTTTTAGGGTAGCTGGTCTCACCGATTACGTGTTTTTTTTTATTTGTTAAGAAAAATTGTATTGAGTTCAATTTGAATATTTTTTTTTTTTTTGCTTTACCAAATCGAGTTTGTTAAACAAATAGCCTTATTGAGAATATCGGCTCAAGTCACCCTTAGAAGTTTTTTTAATAAAAAATTAAGCTCAATTCACCATATTTTTATATCATATTATCCAGTTCAATTCAACAATTGGTTATAATGCAATTATTTGTCCAGCAGATAATTATTTCGACCAAATGTGTAATAATGCAAGTGTTTAATAGTATTTAGAATCATTTTCTTAATTTATATTTTTTTATGAACTAAATTATGATTGTGTATTTTTGTTTATTCTTTCTAT